GCTGTTAAATTAAAGTTTTATACTGTAGATGACAATACGGTATTTAGCTGTTAATTTCAAAAACAGTAACACACCGTATTTTTACGGAATGATGCTGGCAACCACAGCTGCCAGTAGTTTACCGTTTTTTTTACAGGATTATTTTTTACAGTAAGCACAACCAATATGAACTCAATTAACTAGCAATATACACAAGGTAATGAACTAAAAGGTGTGAGTAACTGATAAAAAACCATGGTAACCAACAATGAGAGGGAAAATTGAACAATAACAGTAATAAACGATTGAATGTGCACAAAAAATATAAAAAGAATGGTCCAATATATAAAACCTTATTTATAAGGCAATTTATCGGATTATTAAGATGAATTTTAAGTTACTTTGAAGTGCATACCACAACAAGAGTCATTTATTTCCATGGAAAATGTATTCATGCGAGGAGGAGTGAGTGGCAAATCCGCAGGCAAACCGCAAAAGTGGAAAAGTATAGTTTCTCACTGAGTCATGCATTTGGAGAAAAGAACAATGTTTTCATCCATAAATAGCTGTGCTTTCCTTTGCTTAACTTTTGTTCCACCTTCTGGGCCACAGAATGAGAAAGAGCTAAGCAGACTGACTGGTTCGATTCCCTACACCAGTCTGCTCCTGTGCATCCCTTTTACATGATATTGGTGAAATGATGCAAAAGCCACCAAACCTCATGAAATATGATACAGCTTAATTGTTTATATGCAGTCTTCACTTAAATGATTTTGGATTAATTTGCTACCTCAGTCTTGAACAATATCAGTAATGACTTCTGGGAGTCTGAAAGAGCTTGGTGGATCTTCTGCATTTGCTGAATCAATTGCAGGTTCCCTTTTTAACAGGCAGCATCTGCAACCAATCCAAAACACTATGTAGGTCAAGTTCCCACCACCCTCCATAAAGACTGGTTGAGTGTGCACTGGCACATCCACAAAATCTCTTGCTCTCATTACACAAAGAGATTGCAGCTAGAGCTCAATAGAACCGTTCCCACAACTGGAATGGAGAAGAAAAAAAAGGATTTTGAATCTGAGGAGGACACAACAAGAAATAAATGTGCAATAGGTCAAGATCAGGAGGGAAAGGAAACCAAGACCTGAACTGAATTGTAGAGACAGAAAGCCTCATTTTGACTGTTTATGCTTTGCTCCATTTCACATTTCTCATAACAGCACTGATCAGACAACGCTGACAAGCCTTCATTCAGGAAGGAAGCATTATCTGAAACAGCAGTCCTGGCAGGAGACTGAAACAGTCCAATGAAATACAGAAATGGATAGAGAAACAGGAAAAGTGAGGGATGAGAGAGTCAGAATTTCTTATTCAGCGATACAGAGTACAAAAAAGCTTTTATCCTGTGCATCTGCATCACTTCGATGGACACTGGCCGAGACAGGCGAGGCTTTGTCAGGGAAAATTAGCATCAGTGAATATAGTCAGCCCCACTTGATGTTTTGAACAAAGGTCATTTTTGGGTTATGCTCACAGCGCAGTGTAAAGAGGTCAAAGGGTTGTTGATATTTTGCCAATATCAGTTGGAGGGACTTTTGTGTAGCTTAATATGTTTCTCTTCGAGTATTGGCTGTGATATGCGTATGCGTGTTACACATTTTGGACAAAAATGTAATGAGCAACTGGGGGTGGAAAGAGCTCTGAATGTTCCATTCAGTGAGTGTTCAGAAAGCACAAACATTTTACAAGTATCTCAATTTCAAAACTGGGTTTTGTAAAAATGTTTTAGAAAGGAGTCTCTTATGCTCACCATGTCTACATTTATTTGATCAAAAAAGTAATAGCCTATTGTGAAATATTATTACAATTTAAAATAACTATTTTCTGTTTAAAATGTAATTTTTTTTCAGCATCATTGTTTTAACCCAATTTTGGGTCAAATATGGACAAACCTAGCCATTGGGATACATTTTAAAAATGACAAATGACATAAAATGAGGAGTTTGTCCATATTTGACCCAAAATTGTGTTAAAACAACCCAGCATTTTAGAGCTTTAGCCTTCAGTGTCACATGATCCTTCAGAAATCATCTCAAGAAACTTTTCTTATTATCACAGAAAACAGTTGTGCCACTGAATGTTTTCATTAACATTATCTCAAAAAATATAATGACAGAATTATCTCAACTGCATACAATCTAATTTGGGTCAAATATGGACAAACCCAAATGCTGAGTTAAAAATTTAATAAAACATTTACAGTTATGTAGTGAAAGTTGAAGTTGGGTTAAAATTTTAAATTACATTTTTAACCCAGCATTTGGGTTTGTCAATTTGACCCACATTTGGGTTAAAACAACCTAGCATTGTTTAGAGTGTACGATTCTCATAAATAATAAAAAAGTGGACAAAGAAATATGCCCTACAGCACACCTCTCTTATTTTTAAAAAAACAAAAACAAAAAAACAATAAGATACAATACAAATATTAAAGCCAAATATATAGCCTAATAATATACCCTTTTAATATGTTTTTGGAATACCCCACAAAACGTTCTGTGAATGGTTACAGATAGAGCGACATCTTGTGTGTGTGCTTGCATATGTTATTATTTTGGATGAAAGATAATGTGGTGAAATCTGGAAGAAATGTGCTATGGTGTTGAAGAGAGAAGCAGTAACTGCAGGCGGAGCACATATGGAATTCATCAGAGATGAGGAGGAGATTCTGCAGTCCTGTGCTGCTTGATCTGCCACAACTACTCGGACCCCGGGAGGCAGTATGTTTTCACTCATCCTGAGAGGGGGAAAAAGTGAAAATAAGTTCAATTTTCCCACGTACACTGATAATTCGTGACAGGCAGCGTATTGCTTTTGTGCATGTTTTTGGAGCAACTTTAGCAACCTCCTTCGTCGATGACGTTCAGTGAAAGTCTTACCTGTCCCCCAAGTAAAAAAAAAATATGGTAGCCTACATATATTAAGCTAACAAATTAGACTAAAGGCAATTGTAAAGTTTACAATACTGTCTAATTTGTTAGTAATATATTTTCACTAACACGAACTAACAGTGAACAATGCATTATTTATTATTACTGTATTATTTATTAATCTTTGTTTAAGTCCCTGTAAAGGCAATTCTAAAAAGAAATTCTAAACACATTATAAATGTTAGAAATGTATTGCTAAAACATATCACAAAGACTGTTAAACAGTTTTTCACCAATGCCGGATTTTTTTGGCCTCGATGACGCACTAGCCCCTGAGCTCCTGGACACGCCCCCACTCGAAGACGTACTGAGGCCAATGAGGCTGGCCCCTCCCCTAACAATCGAGCACTTACTCCATTATTCTCATAAGGTCGCCGCTAAATTGCGAGTTGCTGTTAGTAGTATTACAGCCTATAGACCATGACATAGACATAAACAGTTGCTCCGCCTCCGACTACAATGTTTCAGTAAACTGTGATGTTGAGTCATTTTTAAAGTTCAGATTTAGAAAAACAAAGATGTCATGGCCAGTCTACGGGCATGGCACATTCTGGAAATAGATGAATGGCTCAGCAACTTGTCCAAGACCAGGCTTTCAAAATGTTCTTGTAATTTCATTGTTAACTGGTGACTAACTGATGACTAACACGCCACGGTTAGGACTCATTAAAAAAATTGACTCTAAATACATTGTGTAAATCTGTGAGAAGCATCATGTGCCAAACATGCGGCATTAATCAGTGATTCAGAGCTTTCCATTTGCAGAGCTGCAGACTAGACAAATTTACTTTAAATATTTACAAGAATTGTAGGTCAGTATAAAATAGATATTTTTTTAAGAATTTCATGGTTTCCACAAAAATATTAAGCGCAATGGTTTTCAACATTGATAATAAAGAATTGTTTCTTGAGCAGCAACTGGAGTAATGATGAATACAGCTTTGCCATCACAGGAAATACATTACCTTTGAAAATATATATTCAAATATAAAAGATTTCAGTGAAGTGTAATAATATTTCACAGTATTACTATTTTTACTTAATTTCGGATTTGAAAAAACAAACAAACAAAAAACAGCGCTGGTAAGCATAAGAGACTTCTTTCAAAAATCATCTTACCGACCCCAAACTCTTGAACAGTAGTGTAGCTATATCATGGCACTTTTTTGAATTAAACATAATTATAAACTCATACACTTTACATTATTTACACTATGCTTAATCCAAGCCATCTGTGAAACCAGACCTATATCTTTAAAAATGTATATTTTATTGCCTTTCAGTCTTTCTAACTGACAAAGTGAAAAGGTTCTGTGAAAAGGTCCTAATATTTTCTGTCCTTCAATTAGTGCTTTATTGGCAGTTAGATTAGACTGACATTTCTTGATTGAATGTGAAATCAAATTACTATTAAATTATAATCAGATGCTACCTAAGACTTTTTGGCCTGGTTTCAAAGACAATTGAACTTAGTTTAATTAGGACATTTAAGAGCATAAGAACGTGCCTTACAAAAACATTACTGGTGTGCATCTTGAAACAAAACAAAGGTACTGACATATTGTAAGATATGACATTGCAAGTTGCTTTCAGTTAAAACATTTTAGTCTGGGACTAGGTTTGAGCTTTGTCTGTGAAACTGGAATCTCATCTAACATTTCAAGGAGAATAAAATCAAAATGTCTGCTGACATCTAGTGGTGAAAATACAAAAGTCACAGAATAAATGTTACTTCTCCAAATGTCTGCATATTGGAGGCACACCCCATATGTGTGGAAGTTTTGACAAGCAGTATATTAAATCTAACACTGTATTAAAATCTAGTTAACTACCATTTTGGCATTTACCAGTGCACAGTAGAACTCTTAGATTTACCTAAAATGTTTACCTAAAAATTCCCCAAAATGCCCTGAAATGAAAAAAAAAAAAAAAAAAACTCAACTATTAAATCTAGTTGTATATCATGAACAGCAATATCCCTTAAACCATTCACACATTTAATTATGAAATGTCAAAAGTCAAACAAAAACATTAATATGAAAAACAGGTTTATTTGTGTGAATAGATTCCACCTTCTCATACTGGGGTACATCTTGGAGATTTCCACCATAACAGCATGCTAAGAGAGTTACACGGGGTCTTCAGGCCTCACATTCCAGGGACTGGTTTACTGTCAGGCCTTCACTAATGTGCAAATCGACAAAAGCATGAGCTACGTGGAGTCAGACAAGCTGTACCAAACCAGCATGTTCAACACGCTTCCCTTCTTTCACTCGGAGACAAGAAAAAGGCCTCAGTACATCAACCAATTCAAAAACAAAATGTAGAAGAAACATCAACTCAAAATAAGTACAGTATGTTCTGATCAATTAAACTCAATCCAGATGCTATGGCTTTTACTTAAAACAAAACAAAAACAAACTCAAAATGTTTTTTTTAATGTCCATTATTGAGCACAAAAATTAATAGTGGTCCTTTACTTCAGTTTGAGATTAAAAAAAAAAAAAAAACTCTGAACATCTGATTTTAAATATGAAATGGGGACTCTAAATTCGATCTAACTTCTCACTAAGAAATTCTTCAACGCTGTCTGTGTTCCACTTGAGGATGCTGAGCTCATCAGCAATGTTCCCGTTATCGTCCAGCAGCTTTAGAACAGGGTCCGAGCCTCTCACATACTGGAAGAAATGCAAAAGGCATCTAGAATTAACCAGTGTTTTAAGCCATGTATAATATCAATATTCTTTTTCTGACAAATATTGTCATTTTTGCACCAAATAATATACACAGAGCTGTTCAAAAGTTTAGGGATTTTTTATGTTATGTTTCTGAAAGAAGTCTCACCAAGGCTGTATTTTCTTGTTAAAAAATACAGTAAACGGTAATAAGTGAAAAATTACACATTAAAATAACTACTTTTTTTAAAAATACATTTTAACTCTTTCCCTGACAGCGGGTTTTTCTAAGTTGCCAGCCACCTTTTTTCCTTTACCATTTTCACAAAAATATCATGGCTCTCAGAATATTTAGTTGTATGAATATCTGAACATGCATTCTATCAAAAGAAAGAACTGACCCTCTACTTAAAAAAAACCCTCTACTTACTTTAAAATGTGGGATTGTTTTGTTACAAAAAAAGCAACATTGATCAAAAAGCTGAGAAAATCAATAATTTCACTACATCTAGATTGGATTAACATAGATGGAGAAGATCAAGTCACTCAAGTCACCAAGCTTTCACAGTCCTATACCTCATCCTGGTTCAATATTACATTTTTGATTTAATGATGCTGTTTGACGTTGATGATCGCGTTATTTTACATATGATTGCAAATTATATTGCTTTTCTCTGCTGCTTCTTCACACTTGTTTTGATTCAGTACTCTTTCAGAAGTCCGGAGATTCAGTACTCTTTCAGAAGATATGTTATAGCGCCCTCTACCATATAAATATAATAGTGCCCTTTCTCCCAAATGGTAAAAATTTCTATTAATGGCGGAGAAAGTTAAAATGTCATTTAGGCCTATTCCTGTGATGCAAAGCTGAATTTTCAACATCTTTTCATCAGTTTTCAGTGTCACATGATCCTTCAGAAATTGTTCAAATATGCTGATTTGCTGCTCAAGAAACATTTCTCATAAACGTTGAAAACAGTTGTGCTGCTTAATATTTTTGTGGAAACCATGACACACTCAGGATTCTTTGATGAATAGAGTCCAAAAAGAACAGAATTTATTTAAATGTAGCATTTTTTTGTAAATCTTTTATAGTTCAGGTTTGATCAATGTAATGTATTTAACATACTGGAAAAATATTGGAAAAAAACATTAATTTCTTTCATAAAACTTACTGACCCCAAACGTTTTGAACAGCAATTTATATATAGTGTCCATGGCCATGTTTAATGACAAAAATATTTTGCAAAAAATAATTACCTTGATTTGAAGACCCTTGAACATCTTTGGCTTGTCACTCCTGACAAAAGCTGAAGGGAAATATGGTCACAAAAATTACTGCTTTGTAACAAGTGTGCAAAAGCAAACACTCTGCAAGTCTGTGCTACACAACAGCTGAATTAATGTAACAGCTGCTACAAAAAACACCCAAATAAACATGTTTTTTTTTTCTATATTGCCGTGCCAATTTTTAAACAATCATCAACAAGAAATACTAAGTTTGAAGTGGCAGTTACTCATATTTGAGGCCAAATCCTCTACCTACCTTGGACTTGAGGGAACCTCCCCAATTTTCATCCACAGACCTCAAGGATGGCTCCTGGGTAGAGCTGTTGAAGAAATAAATGACAAATGCACATTGATATGGGTAATTATATATAATGACTTAGTCAAGTGATATGAGAGCAAAGCGTGGCATTTAGCTCATTGCATCTAAATGTTTGTGCTGTGACAAAACGTTTCAGCCATTTTTTATCGTTTGGGGGAGGTAAAACAGCAGGAAAGCTTGATTAAAGCTCCAGCATTCTGTGCTCATTGTTGGAAATGAACTTGTCATTTGGCACAGAAGCACAACTCACCTTCCTAGACTCCAGCTGAGCCTCCTCTTGGCAGCACTGGCTGCATGGAAGGTCCAACTGGTTCAGGCTGAACTGACCCAGGAGGTCACATGAGCTACACAGGAGATTGCTGGAGAAGCCCAACTCCCTGCACGCCTCGGAGGACAGCTCAGCTCCATAAGACGACAGCTGAGCAGAGAGGAATAACAACACAATTTAGATACTTTACACTTAATAACAAGCAGTAGATGTCATTCTTTAAGCACAAACAGCAGTTGACCTTTATGTCAACAGCTTAAACCTGTTGGAAATTCTCAGCTGTTCACTTTGATTTTAACGACAGTCAAATGCAAGCCCAAAGAAAAAGGCAAATGGAGGGTAAAGGACAGGTGTATGAATTTGCAACAGCTATGAGAACCAGAGTGTACTGTTTATAGTTGGTGAGTGACACATCTCACCTCTAAATTTGATTAACTTACTGCCTAGTTATGAACAAAAAATACTTCAACATTATTTAAGCTTATATTAAAGAAAAAGCACAACCAATGAATTGGTTCAATATTTTAAAAATCAATATTTTATTCTGAATCGCAAAGTCTTAAAAATAGTTTAAACCCCATAATATTGTGCTTTCTTAATATAAATCAACAAGCCCTTAAGCCATTTTTCTCCACACAGGACAAATCTGTGGAATAGCCATAGACAGTATAAGGGAATAGCACTTCCTAGTTACGAATACAAGATCAGCTGATGTCGAGAAATCCCCAAGAGAGGGAAGAATTGTGTAAACAAAGTTATACATATTATACATACATTGCTGTAATGTTAATCATTAAAGCTAAGTAACCATGCTACTGTATGCAGTGTACTCGTTCTTGTTTTTGCAGGTAAGTTAACGTTACGTTAAACTAGTTAACTGCTTTAAAATTGAATTATTACAGATTGTGCAAAAAACATTGTCTCAAATTTTGCGGTAGGTGCTAAGTGAGTCAATCATGTCACGGGTAAATATTAAATATGCGATATTATTAAGATTTCCCTTACATTTCTGTAAAAACAGCCAGTTGGGCCACGTCATTAGCTAACATTAGCGAGCCGGCTAACCATCGACTTAACGTAACTAGCCCATATTTTACAAAGACAAGTGGGTTCATTGTCACTGTTGAGTATCTACTTTTAAAGATGAGAGTGTACATATGTGTTTCATTAACCTACCGTTTGTAATAACGGCAGTAACCAAAACAGGTACACTTCCCCCGCCATGAGTGTTTCTCTTCCTCTAGCTTGGTTCAGCAGGAACCGGAAGTGCGTCTAACAACACATCCGCTAAAAGTATTATCGTGAACAAACAATATCATTTTATTTATCGTATTTATCATCGTTTATTGATTATAATAATAATAATAATTTTTACATGAATAATAATGAAAATCTTTTGGTACCAAAAAATAAGGGTGATTAGAACCTATTTTATTTGAATGTTAAACTTTAAAAGTACAATGGCTAAAAAATTGTTTGGACAAACCTGACTGAATTTCTTTTTATGTATACCCGATAATATTGTCATTTGTAAATCAATGTTATCAAGAAGCCCATATGGTATTAAAGATATGTTATATGCATATTTTGTTTCTTCGCAGATATGAAATAATTTACATTGCGATTAATGAAATATCTAGCTTTATGGGGATTTATTTTAAAGGTGATCTTATGCTTATTTATATGCAATAAATATTAAAAATATTTAATTGAAAATATCTGCATGGTCGGGTACATAAATATGACAGTCAGGTACCAAAGTCAGGTACATGTAAATATGACGTGTTGTTGTAAAGGAGTGAAGTGAGATTCTTTTTTTTTTTTTTTATTCTAAAAATAAAGTACAAATCACAAAAGACTAATAAGATATACATTGAGTGAAGTGAGATTCTCCCTGGATTCTCCAGACGGAGCGACAGCTGACCGCTTGACGTCAAACGCATCCGGCGATTGCGCATGCGCACTGACACAACGTGCCTTTACTTCCCACTTCCCAGGATTTAACAACAACTGAACGTTCACTACAGCTGCTACTCAAGTACGGTAGAGTCTGAGCTGTTCTGATTTATGCAGAAAAGTATACAATATAAGCATAACTGTTTTTTTTTGGGGATAGTAAGCGTCCATTGCAGTGTAGTTCGCTGTGTTTATGTTCGAGGACTGATTATGGGGATCATAATATAACAGCACTGCTCGTTGCATCCATAGAACTGTGTAATAAAGTTCTCGGTCACGGTATGTCCTTCCTGTGCTGGATTTTTTGATGGGGCTTTTAAGGTTAAAGATGTCGCCGAAGTTTCAACTCCTGGCTCTGTTGGCCTTCGCCATTGCGATGATCTTTTTGGAAAACCAAATTCAGAAGCTTGAAGAGTCAAGGGGGAAGCTGGGTAAGAGTTTTTCCATTAAGTATTTTGAATTACTTGCTTGACTAAAAATCAGCGTAGTCTGTCGTATTGCTCCAATTTGTTAACATGATCATTAAGCAACTTAATAAATGTGTGATTTGTGTCCGTACTGTTTTGAGGGAGGTAACATTAATGGGCATTTGTGTGTATGTTTGGACTACATGGTCCATCATGTCTCAGACAGCAGCTGCATTTTCATTCAAGCAAGATCCAATATCAGTTTTGACTAGTTGTGTAATATGAAGAGTTCAGATGCAAAAGCCTCTAAATGCCATTTGAAATTTTCTTCTAAAATGACCATTTTTATCAAGCTTGCATATTTAAGTTCAGTAATTTCACTTAAATGACAATTAATAGGTAATCTTCATTGCCATTTAAGTGAAATTACTGAACTTAAATATACAAGCTTGATAAAAAATTATCATTTTAGAAGAAAATTTCAAATGGCACTTAAAAGCTTTTGCATCTGAACTCTTCATATTGTCCCACGTCAGTATGAAGCATTTATCTCTTGACTTGCATTACCGAACTACTGCATCAGAACTGATTTTAAGGACTGGGAGAAAACAGGCTATGAAATTAACTGAAGAAAATACAAGCAAAATGTTTTGGATTCATCTATTCAACATGTTTGGCAGGATTGTCCTCCTGGTGTTACTTTGTGTTTTTTTTTCATTGGGTCAGATACAACAACGTGACCGCACTATTTAATTATTATAAATATTGACTGAATGAATTGATACTACATATGGTGCTTTCAAACGGATTTCACCATCTTGTCACAACAGCCAGAATAACAAAATCACCATAAATACATATTAAATCCAATAACCCTTTTAGTTTTTCTGGTGTGTCTTATAATTAACAGGACCTGTGTAAAATGAGTGGAATTTCCTAAAATACAATAAAAAAAATACCTGTCAGTAATATTTTTTCTAAAAAAAAAGTCAACAAGAATTTAATTAACCAAAATTGACAAAAACAAAATGTATTACTAAAGATTTATAAAATGTACAGCACAGCTATTTTAAAAATATTTAATAATAAAAAATGTTTCTTGAGCTGCAAGTCAGCTTTACATCACAGGAATAAATTACATTTTAAAATATATTCAAATAGAAAACAGTTATTTTAAATTGTATTCATATTTCACAATATTGGTGAGCATAAGAGACTTCTTTCAAATTCAAGGTATTCTTAACCACGTTAAGAATACCTTCAGTTCAGCCTGGTATTCTTAAAACCCTTTTGCAATCCCGTTTGTGAAATTAAAATGCTTTCTGCTCATTACAACTAATCAATTGAAAAGAACAAGATCAGTTATTTTAAAATCTGTTAAGTACACTTGTCAATACGGGGCTTTGTATTTTGGTTGAATGCTGCTGTAATTCCAAACACAGGCCACATGTCTAACTAGTGAGACATGTCAAACGCACATGCCTAAATAGCGATCAGATATGGGCTATTTCATGTCCTGTACAGGCTATTCTGAATGCTACACCAGTTTGACTGTAACGCGTCACTTCTGCATCATATCGGTTTCACAGCACCTTCACAGAGATATATCTGTGCTATAGGCCCTACTTAAGTTATTTTAATGCTTTGTTTGTTTAAATAAGCTACGTTCTTTCCACTAAAAATTGGCAAGGTGTTATTTAGGTTAGCTGGTTCCCACCGTCCACGCTGAGTGACATCAACCAACAGGTTTTTGCTCTATGAATATGAATAGTGAGAGCCGTTAACAGGCAAAAAGGTGAGGGGAAGGTTTTCCATCTGGTGAAGCATGTATTTGAATGAATCTGTCATCCTGTTGCACATCTTGTTTGACTGTGAACAAATGGGGTCTGTAGTGTACGCTGTTTTATGTGCCTCAAAATTTCAGGAGTGTTTGCTGACGATTTGAAATGTTGATTTATTATCTTTCCGTTTTTCTCTAATGATGGCTGCTGACATACACTTTCACGGTTCATCAGCATCGGAAAAGTTATTTGATATCTAACCTGATAGTAGTTTGTCTCCATTTGCTAATGGAAGTTCTGGGATTCCCTTTAAACACGCTTTAAATTGGTACTGTTTTTAGCCCTGATGAGGCTGTGAAAGAATATAAGCCCATGTGTTATAGCTTGGCACCATCACATTGACTATTGTACATTTTTAGATCCAAAGTAGCCATGTGTTTATGAAGCTTAAAGACTTTAAAAGCATTGTTAGTTGTTGAAAAGGTTTCAGCACCAGCGGATGACATTAACTAAACAAATACTTATTGTAGTCTTTATACTAAAAATGTAAAATTTGAAAGTGTATTAAGAATATTATATGTGAAGTAATCAAATATAGACCTACTGTCGTATTTCAAGTTTGGGGTTGGTAAAATGATTTTTAAATGAAGTCTCCTATGCTGAGCTGATCAAGCTATTCATTTCTATGATGGATAAGCTGAATTTTCAGCATTTATTACTCCAGTCTTCTTTGGTGTTACACGGTGCTTCGGAAATCATGATTTGGTGCTCAAGAAACCAGTAATTACTAATGTTGAAAACAGTTGTGCTGCTTAATATTTTTGCGGAAACCGTGATACATTTTTTATGTGATACATGTCTTTTGATCAATGTTATGCACCCTTCCTGAATAAAAGCATTAATTTCTTTAAAAATGAAAAAAATCTTTACTAAACCTAAAATATGTGTGACATTGAGTTTTGTTTGGGTTACAAGTATTCTAATACCTCTAGATGTAAATTATAAACATTCATTCATGAGTCAACTGAAAGACAAATCAATATAGTTTAGTCTATGTGTGATGATGATGATAATTTCAACCTAATGGTCAAACAAACTGAAGAATTAGTGGTAATGTGCTCACTGCTCACACTTTATACTCTTACTTATGCATAGCAAATTTCACTAAGTATAACCAGATGGTACATTACCTGGGGCAGATTATAAACTTGATGCTTTACTATTTATTAAAACTTCAAAGCCCCCTTGAATACCAGAGGCAATACAGCTGCCTGCATTTCTTAGTCCATTTTATGGCCTCTTTGTACACATGCAGGACATTCTTCATGTCTGTTTTTCTTTTGTACTTAAGAGTGCTTTCACACCGGGTTCGATTGACGTCAGAGTTTGTTACATTTGCATGATGTGATTGTGAATTATGTACTCTATTCCGGATGAACCGTACCCCAAATCTGCATAAATAGGTACGGTCCATGTGAACTCCTGTATGCTCCGCTTCTGATATTGCACTGAATCATGGAAATGAACAGCTATTGATGACGTATGGTTCTCATTAATACTCTGTGTGCATCTCACTTTTCTGACAAGCAGGGTCTCTGCGTGGCAGGGGCAGCTGCCACTCGACCAGTCATCGTTATTTGCTCCTGCCACTCGACCAGTCACCATTATATGCTCCTGACACTCGACCAGTCACCGTTATATGCTCCTGCCACTCGACCAGTCACTGCGTGAAATAAGTCTATAGGGCGTCTATGTATTTATTATATCTATGCTCCTGACTGCTTTTGTTGGACAAATGGCTAATGGCGGATTATTATTGGTCAGATCGCCTGTCAATCAAACTCCCTGCGAAGGGTCAATTGGAACGCACTGCATTTCTCTCACTCAGTCTTCACTCTACCAAGGCTGGAAATGTTGTTGTGTCATGATAATGTGACTTTCTTCAAGCTTGAACATAATGACCCCACAATGACCTCCGTGTTGTAGAGACTCTCAGAGGGAAATCTGATTGTATTTATTTTGTTCTATCTTAGGAAAGACTGAAACCTGATTTGAAGTATTGAAAAGACATCAGTCAGAGTTACTCGTCAGGTTTGGCAGCTGACTGCCATAAATCCTTCTCCCCTCCTGAGCAGCTTGACACTTGTAGATATTAAATTTCATCCACTCATCTTATTATTTTTGACCTTTACTGGAACAAGACACTCAGATTTTGCACTGTTATATCACACACTATGAATTGTTTTAGATATTTGTATTGGCTGTAAATTTATAATTGGGTCAATGAGAAAAAATAAACAATCTTTTTGATTTAAAAAAAAAAAAGCTTTACATATCGTTGCTTACACACGTAATATTTTATTATTTATACAGGAATGAATAATAGTTTCACCCCAAAAAAATATCATGAATAATCATGTCCCCAATAAAATATCAAATATAAATCATTTAGAATTGATAAACATAAACATATTAGTAGAGATGTATTCAAGACATTGTATTGCATGTGTATGAGAGTAAAATAAAAGATCTGGACTGAAAGAATAAGTGTAATTGGCCCAGTTTTTAAAAACAGCAACAGCAAAAATGTATTTTAATTATTGTTTTCAGGCTACAAGTAAGATTTAATAAGTTATTGTACTCGTGAAGATGTGCTTATTAGAGAAGGCAGTGTGTGAAGGCCAATAGTAGTGAAACTCTGCATTCATCCATCGCATCAGTTACACAGTCAGCCTGAGGGCCCTCTTGCCGCCTGTCTGTTTTTAAATGAGCTCTTTCATTCAGCATAAAGCAGCAGTTGTGTGTCCATCATGTAGGAAATAGGTCATTAACGTGCAATTATTACATTAGTCTGGGTATTGCACCCGTAATGAGATGGTGAAACAGTCACGTCTACCCATAAATACTTGAACCCTGACGACTCTTTTACCTCAGAGTCAAACATTTTCCATTACAGCTCTGCATACAAAAAAAACAAGTAAAAATGTAGGTCAGAGGCAAATTTCTTATCCTCTAGGTTTAGTCTTTGTTTTTTTTCCCTCACAATTTTAAAATAACAACCTACTTTTTGCATTGGTGACAAGATATTCTCTGTTGTCGTGGGAGAGTCTGACATCATAATGTGGCATAGCAACAGTTGTCATGGGCGATAGCAGTTGTCCACATGTGATGTTTAGAGACTCGAAAGCTGAGCGGGAATGTGCCGTGGTTGGCTTGACATCATCACCTCACAGTAGCAGCTGCCCGTTCTCCAGCTCACATTCACACACTTCTGTCACCGCATCGTGTTTACTGTCACAGCTCTATCTCAAGATCTCACGAGGATTACAAGGCAATAGGCCCTTTCTGTTTCAACCTCTACATTTTGTATTTTTGCATTACTCTATTAACACCAAGGCTGCATTTATTTGACCAAAAATAAAGTAAAAAACGTAAAATTGTGAAATGTTATTACAATTTAAATAAGTTTTGAATATATTTAGAAATGTGCTTTATTCCTGTGATGCAAATCTAAATTTTCAGCATCATTACTCCAGTCTTCAGTGTCACATGATCCTTCAGAAATCATTCAATGCGGATTTGCTGTTCAAGAAACATTTATTACTATTATGATTATCAATATTGAAAACCGTTTTTGCTGCTTAACATTTTTAAGTGTTACTGTGTATAATATATAATACGTATATATAAAATAATACATATAAGTAGACCATTTTTGGAAAATTAAGTGTTATTTTACCTTTGTCAAAAACATAAAAAAAATAAATGTAAGAATATTATCAAATGTGAATCCCTTACTATTTGATTATATGTAGTATTATTATATTATTTTATAATTATTATGTATTGTGCAGAAATACATTTATTATACATATATATAATTATTAATCTAGTATTCTGTTCCCTCAACATCCAGCACTTGGAGTATTCCTATATGAATCTGGTATATGGCAGGTTTATTTGCAGTATTTTGTTGAATGGAATGTTTTTTAAATGAATTATGCAAAGAAAGAAAAAGGCCAAACACATTAGTTTAAATATCTCTCCTCATACTTTGCAGAACGAGCCATTGCCAGACATGAGGTACGAGAGATCGAGCAACGGCACATTCAAGATGGGGCGAAGGAGGCCATGGTAAAGGAGGACGATTTGGTGGTCATCTACAACCGAGTGCCCAAAACAGCCAGTACCTCCTTCACCAACATCGCCTATGACCTGTGCAACAAGAACCACTACCATGTGCTGCACATCAACACCACCAAAAACAATCCTGTCATGTCCCTTCAGGATCAGGTCAGTTTTGTATCATTTGTGTATGTTCACTGTTAGTGCCTCCCGCTTACAGCCATCCAAACAACAGATTATAATGCTGGAAGGATCCAAATGTTTACTTAAATTCTCCAAACAGCTTCTAAATGACAGAAAGCATTTCCTTAATAGAGCAATACAGCAGATGTTATGGTGGTGTCTTTATGGTATCATGAGGGGACTTAAAATGGGACTAAGGATTACCTTTTTTATTTTCAGACCATGTCCTTAAGTGATTTATTTATTTATTTTAATTATTTATTAATGTTTCAGGTACGGTTTGTAAAGAACGTGACCTTGTGGAACGAGATGAAGCCTGCGTTCTACCACGGACATGTTTCCTTCCTGGATTTCACCAAGTGTGTATTATGTGCTCTCGTCATTCCCTGTGCAAATTCCCTCAGGTTGTTGGGGTCTTTGTATTTGCATGAAAAATGCTCTTTAGAGTGGTTTCAGGTTTTACATTCGGTGCCAACATCAATAAAGTAGGGGAAAAATATATACAGTATGTATCCTGCTGACTCCTGGTGGCTCTGAAACGAATTGCAGCACGCTTCTAGCATCTGATTTTGAATGAAACAATCATATTGTTGTTAGTTTCCTTTTTTCTAGGTCTTTCTGTAACTTTTACAAATCTGATCAAATTCAAATGCTTCTATGCAACTACATGCATAAAGTAAATATTTAATCATGCCTTGATTCCAAAAATATCTGATAATCTTACTGTATTAAAACAATGTATTTACTAGGAATGATACGTGAAATACAGAGCTTGACAGTTATTTTCCCATCCCTTCATCAGATTTGGAGTGAAGAAAAAGCCTGTTTACATAAATGTTATCCGGGACCCAATTGAGCGTCTGGTGTCTTACTACTATTTCTTGCGCTTTGGTGATGACTACAGACCCGGCCTACGACGTAGAAAGCAAGGAGACAAAAAGGTGTGTCTGGTGTTTTTGGTTTGCGAGTTCAAGTGTTAAATTTTTGTCTATTTCAAATTATTCTGAATTTCATGACTATATGGTTCTGAAGTTTTAGCTCACAAAACAAGTTATTATAATAAAATAAAATTATAATAATAGTAATATTATAAATATAATGATATTAATAGTATTATCGATACATTAAAATACTAACATTTAGATATTATTAATAATACATTTTATTCAAAATATTATTGAATTATAAAATTAGTTTATTCTTAATTATGATATTTAAAAAAAGGTATATAAAGGTGTTAATATGGTATTATTATGGTATTTTGGTATAATATGGTACACCTATTATGGTATTATGGTATTATCATGGTATTAAGGTGTTAGATTGTCTAAAGCGCTCCCTTTAAGCCATCACTTACCGCGTTCTGCCCAACACTGAAGTTGTCCGCACTGCACATGCACATGAATCTCTTATTTATATCGCATCTAGACTTTGTTTATGAGGGATTTGCGAAAGGATAAAGCTTTTGCTGATTCTGAACATACATTTTGAGCAAATTCTCTGGATGGTGACCCTAAATTGGCTCTTATTTGCCACCGTGTTCATGCGCTTAATATGCATAAGTTATAAATAACACAAATAAACACAATAAAACAACATAAATGTCCTATGCCTGGTCCTCTCTCATCCTTCACTGTCGTCACTCATCCTTTTATCCTTCTGGAGCTCCTCCATGGGTTAGAGACCGGTGTGACGCTCATTAGCACTCACTCCGTTCCCGTGGCTCTCGGCCTCGCCCTACTAGTCACAGCTGTCAATTGAGCTTAACTTTTGTTCTCATCCAATTTTGAACCAAGAAAGTCTATTTGTAAACTGTGTTTCAGACTTTTGATGAGTGTGTAGCTGCCGGAGGATCTGACTGTGCTCCAGAGAAACTGTGGCTTCAGATTCCCTTCTTCTGTGGTCATTACTCTGAGTGCTGGTAGGCCGTTCAGTGTCTTTATGGATATATTTTCAGGATTCTTATACTTTCAGGAGTCTTGTTACATCTTTGTAATTATTTTTTTACAGGAACATTGGCAGCAAATGGGCTTTGGAGCAAGCCAAATACAACCTGGTGAATGAGTATATGCTTGTTGGGGTGACCGAGGAGTTGGAAGACTTTGTTATGATGTTGGAGGCGGCACTTCCTCGCTTTTTCAAGGGGGCCACAGAGCTCTATCGGACAGGTACGATGCAATGAAAGTTCTTAAGTGAATATGTAAAACATTAAAACTAACATGATCAACTTTTATTTGTCCATTTTTAAAGGGAAGAAATCACACCTAAGGAAAACGAGTGAGAAGAAGCCACCCACTAAAGAGTCTATAGCCAAACTACAGCAGTCAGACATCTGGAAAATGGAGAATGAGTTTTATGAGTTTGCACTAGAGCAATTCCAGTACGTTCGGGCTCATGCAGTGAGAGAAAAAGATGGAGAGCTTTACCTACTGGCACAGAACTTTTTCTACGAGAAAATCTACCCAAAGACTACCTGAGACCATGAACGCTATATGCTGTGGTCGGAAACACTGGAGGAGGACACGTTACATTGAAATGTGCATTCTGACTGACTCTTCTCCATCTGGATATGTACATTCAAACAGCTGAATCTAGTATGTGCCACAGGGAAGACTCTTGCGGCCACGCAGCTGTCATGAACATTATTCCCCCAATACATATCATTTCAAAAAAGGGTTAAAAGCTCTGAAATGTGCATTAAAAGTGACTGAGATTGTTTGTGTAATTATTCGAGACAACCACCACCTTTCTGCCATTTGGGTTTTATACAGGTACTGTCACATTTCTTTCTGTGATCCTTATTTAATAAATTAAAGGTTATTGGTTTTTTGTTTTGTTTTGTTTTTTTTACCAATTTATGCTGTTTGGTGCTTTTTACATCTTATTTTAAAGTGTAAAAAGAGTACAGATGACTACTAAACATTCTTGAAGATCTTTATCAAGCTGAGAAAGTATTTTTTTCAGTATAGTAAAATGAGTACTTTTTCTTGGACTTGGAAATATGGTTTATTGAATTTATTGGAAATACACAGATGTGATGTGGATGTATTTTATGTTGTTAACATACGTCTTGCCTTTAATATTGCAGATCAGATTTGTTTTGTTTAAAAACGTATCCACAATTGCTGTTTGCCATTTTTAAATCAGAACCTACTGCCTGGGGTTCATCCCTGCAGTTTTTCAGCAATTTATATATTTTTATCTAATATGTATGTAGATACTGGTCATTACATTTAGAGTTGGACCAAACATTGAAATGTGGAAAGATAAATACAAACACAAAAATGACTAGGCCTAGATCTACATGTGGATCATTGTACTGTTACTGGTTCTTGGTAAGCAGCAATTTTGTGTTTTTAAATTTGATTTGACATATTTTATGACTAAATTATCAGGTTTTTTTTGAGTTGTTAAGAGTTGTTAAGCCTCTCGTGGAAACATACCATTAGTTTGCTGCTTTATGATTTATATATCATAGACTTTAAATATGTTCATTGAACTCATTCATCGACTTATTCATAGAGACTGTGCCTTTTTTCCCCATGACACAGAGCTGTTATTACAGCCAGTGTAAATATGACTTGACATCTCAGTGAAAAAGGTGAGGAATTGTTTTACAAGGTGAAATCCTGTTGCATTGATTGCCATTATCAACATCAATGTGGAAATAGGCAACCATCATATGAAATTGCCTGCCTTGTTAATAGTAAGAGTGGAACTGATGTCTTTTTGAAAATGGAAATTTGAAGTCTCACAAGTTTATTACACAATATCAGTTTTTCTATGTATACATGATCTTTAGTATCCACACGTTTGTGCATGAAATGGGTGTTGCATTGCACATTTCCCTCTGAAATCTCCTAGAGAGAAAATGAGTAGAACAATGTGGTCATTGTGACACATGATCACTACTTAAAAATATACATATTTTGAGGTTTTACAGGATCTTTTGAATGTTTTTAGATATCAAAACCAATCTGTACTGTACATGAAACGCTAGAGTAGCTATAGCTATCAGTTTTACTATCTTTCACAGTCCCACTATGTGATCCTGTATATGCTCTTTTTGTTTTGTTTTTTCTTTGTTTGTTTTTTCATGAGACTTCACTAGCTTTGCTCTTTTCTATTGACTGTGTTGAGGTAGATTTGAAAACAGATTGATTTTGAATATGTCAGCTATAATAAAAAGAGCTTGATTTGTTTAGATTTTTGTTCTCTGTTATCATTGTAATTTTGATAAAATGGCACAGTCTGTATCTCTCTACTAAAAAAAAAAACAGGAGAAGCTAAAATATATGGAAGGGCATCAGTAGTGCATTCATGAGAAAATTATATTAGACTTCATTTGTTATTTTTTAATATGCTTTGCCTTTTTTGTAACACAAATTAAACCTATACTACTGTTTAAAAGTTTGGGATCTGTACTATTTTTTAAAAGTCTCATGTAATTATGTGATCAAAAATGTGGTGAAAGCATTATCGTGAAATATTACAATTTATAAATGTAATTCCTGTGATCCAAAGCTGAATTTCCAGCATCATTACTCCAGTCTTCATGTCACATGATCCTTCAGAAATCATTCAATGCTGATTTGCTGTTGAAGAGACTTTCCTTCAATGTTAAAAACAGTTGCTTAATATTTCTGTGGAAACCGCCTTACATTTTTTGCAGGATTATTTGATGAATAGAAACCACATTTATTTGAAATAGAAATCTTTTGGAACTTTATAAATGTCTTTTATGTGACTATTGATGCAATTCAATGCATCACTTTTGATATATATATATATATATATATATATTATGTGTGTGTATTTTTTAAATCAAATCTTACTGACCCCAAACTTTTGAATGTTAGCGTACGACATAACCATCCTTCTGCTCAAGGCGTATGACTATTTAACAAATATGAAAACTAAGACAATCATATTCATGTTCACACTCAAGCAAATATATTAGATGTGAAAGTGACACCAATATCAAGGTCATCTTTAGATTCAAAGGCCAATATTTTTAATGCTGAATGAAAGTATTAATTTCTTCTTTTTTTAACCACCATAAACTGAATAACTGTGAGTGACCCAATGATCTGTAACCTCTCTTCTTCTTGCACAGAGGAGCTCACCGCTGACATGAACACAGGAGATGTGCTCAAGAAGTGATGTGCACCAGTGCAATATCCATGTTATCTCATCGCAGCACATAATAAACATCAGAGGGATGATATGCATTTGAGTCCATCTCAGTGGAAATGTAATCAGCAACACAATTAAAGCATTATTGAGTCATTCTTTCAATGGCATGGCCTAGATAATAGTGTAAATAATTAATTTTTCTATTAACTCGTTGTTGTCTCTTCAGCTTGTCTCTCTCATCACACAGGGAACAGATACCAGGCTGCTTTTCAGAGATATAATTTTTCTAATTAGCACTCAAATGAAGGGCTGTCTGTAGCCTGTGATGGTCATTGTTGGCGGTTTTTACCTCCCCCCGGTTAGATCATCATGGGTGATTGAGCTGTCACAGCAACAAATAAAGGGCCTTTCAAACAATCCCTTTCTGTGTTTGATCGACAGTCCAGCTTCCCTTCATTTTTAATGAACATCATAATTGTTGGCTATAGTCAGTGGGGAAAGGATACATTAATTAGAGAAAATTGTTTCGTTAAAATAACCAGCTTAAGTAATTTGGTAGATTTGTTTGGAAATGTTCTTCTAATCACCAGTACAGAAACGCACATCATTGTCAAATGTTTCACAGATTTAATAATTGAGCAATAATGAAAAACTTGTGCTATGAAGACATCGGCTGGTTCCGGCTCTAAATAATGAGGCCTCTGTCTGACGGTTTCCATCTGATGTTCATCTAACTGTATGTGTTCAGACAGCTCACAATCTTTGTTAATGTGACTCCTGTGCTTTACCTGGAACATCACAACATTCCTCTGCTCAGTAAACAATTAAAGTAATGGAGATGTGGAGAAAATGACTTTTTTTTTTCTATTACGCCCCCCCTCCCACACATATTTCAAACTTTGCGCTCCGCCATTAGATCAACGACTGTGACCTCATTACATAAACATAATCATCCATGAGATGGGGGGGGGGGTCTTGTTTACAGGAAATCTAGACAGGCAAAACCAACAATAAGGGCTGAAAAAAGTAATAGCTCATGCAGAACATTGATAATTACATTTGTGGTGAGGTTAGTCTGGCTTCATGCAAATTCATGTTCATGTGTCCATAATGTCTCCTTTTTACTGTACACTGTTAAAAAAAGTTTGTACGATTTATAGAAAAAAAAGTTAATTGATGAATCGCAAGTGACTTAGAAATCAAATTGTTTTAACATCACAAAATATGTAATTTTACTGTAAAATACTATAAATACTAAAAACTATTAATTATAATTTACTGTGGAAAAACAGTAAAGGACATTCTCAGAAGTCCCTGCATGAAAAAATTGATATGATCAATTAGTTATGACAAAAAAAAGTTTTTATATTGCTTTAAATCATCAAAATAAGTTAAGCAATTGTTTTATGTTAAATACAAAATTCAACAATTAAAAAAAAAAGTCAGTTTAATGTAATTCAAGTTGAAATGACTTAAACATCCAAGTTGATTGAATGTAAAAATTACTTTTTTGATATCAGTATTGTACATAAGTTGTTTTACATTTTCAGTTATTGTTTATTTCATTATAGTGTCATGTTGCCTTGATGGTGTGTTGTCGTTGTTGTGTGTATAACTGTCTATTTGTTTCTTGGACAGGCCATGTATGATAAACTTGAATTCATCATGTGGCTTTCAATTGCGCTACCTAAAAACTAGATAAAGTAGATTCCTATATTAACTTTATATCTCAATAACATGTATGGTTAAAATTGTAAACTATAGCTACAGGCACCAATATTCCATCCCGTAACACCTAAAACATTGTCACTGTACTTGACCGTGCATTTCTTTTTTTTAGAATGTGAATTAAACATGCTTTTTCATGGTAATATAATTGAAGTTTGCAGATATTAGCAGCAAAAAGTTAGAAGGTTTTAGTTCTTGAAAGCAAACAGCACATATATCAACACTAAGCTTACGGCTTTGTCATGTCATCAGAGACTAATTTTCTGCATTGAATAGTGACATAATACACCATAATGAGTGACAGAAGCCAACAAACACAACCCTCTGTCCTCCCTCTCTGCTCCTATATCTCTGTAATCTAGAGTGCGCGTGTTTGAATTAAGATATAAACAGTTTTCCTTGGTTCCCATGACTACCACATTTCAACCAAACTACTTTGATTGTATTTAATCGGATGGTAATCATGGCTAGATGACAGACAGATGATAAGAAAGGCAGGATCCTTTTCTCGCGGATGATTTTCTATTATCTCCCAATCAGACTGCTGTCAATGTTTCTTTTCATAGTGATTTGGTCATGACGCTGTGTGTGTGTCGGTGTTAGGTGATTAAAGCTCCATTGTAAATGACTCCGAGTCCGAATAAGAAATGTGAGGCACTTCTTTTAAACTTAAAATCACTTTGCCACTTCAATTTCTGAGAGATAATTTTGTAATTTACTATTAAAATTTAAATAGTACAGAACTGAACATATAGTCCAATGACGATCATCTGCTTCAGCGCGAGACCAAAATTTAAGTGTCTGCCGATTGGCTGAAGCGCGTCTGACGTCAGCACACGGATGTTTAAAGGGGATTGAAGTCTGGTAACCGAGCAGTTTAAACAGCGTCGTTAACTTACAATGCTCAGACCTCATGATGATATGCCAACGAGAGTTAGTTTAAATGTAGGTAACATTTTTTTCCCCCTGAAGACAAGATATGGTCCGGCGTCTGCCTCTACTCTGACAGACTGAACGCGATGCTCTGTTCTGTATGAGCCTCTGGAAGTTGAGAAGCAGATAAGTGCGCATCCTTGTGCCAGACAAGGGTAAGTGTGTGAACTTGCTTACTTTAGGAGGATTGTTTATCTGTCTGTGTTATACAGTTACAGGCTCATTGGTTAAACCAATACGTATACTGAATACTGCGTTTCTTGTGCAGTTTTATAATTAAAACATTCAGTTTACATTCACTCTGTTCTAGGTAATGACCCAGTTATAATGGTAAACACTGCTTGTAATACACAACTGCCTCATGTCAGAATGGGGGCCCTGGCATGGAAGAGGTGTGTTGGATGTGGATGCAAGATTTTGGACCGCTTCCTCCTGTTTGCTTTGGATGGATACTGGCACTGCCACTGTCTCAAGTGCTCCTGCTGCCAAGCCCAGCTGGCAGAAATTGGCTCATCGTGTTTCACAAAGCGTGGCTTGATCCTCTGCAAAAGTGACTATATAAGGTCAGACTACAGGAATAACACTGTATCTTCATCCTTAATAATTTACCATCATGCATCCTGAGCAAACAAATGTACTAGATTAAATGAAAGCTATGTCTAATATAGTCTTCCGTCACTGTAATAAATAAAATATGACGGACATTTGACAAATGACAATTCTGTCATTTACATGTCGACTCAAACCCTGTATCCACTTCATTCTTCTGTGGAACACAAAAGACAGTATTTTGAAGAATGTTAATATCCAAACAGTTATCGTTTACCATTGATTTTCATTGTATGGGCAAAAAATGCAATGAAAGTCAATGGGAACTGAAACTGTTTGGTTATCACATCATCATTCTTCAAAATATCGTCTTTTGTGTTCCACGGAAGAATGAAATTCATACAGGTGTGGAACGACATGATAGTGAGTAAATTCTGAATGTTTGTAATTTTGTTTCCCTTTAAATTGGGACACAAAGTGGGCAAAAGTTCAAATAGCAACCTAATAAGTAGGTTTAAAAGCTGTAAATGGCTTCCTGTGTTTGTGAAAGAGGAAAAATACTAATGACTTATTAAAATACTGTGACGATATTCACTACAGATTATTTGGTAACAGCGGAGCCTGCAGGGCTTGCAGCAAATCTATCCCAGCAAATGAAATGGTTATGCGAGCACAGGGCAATGTTTTCCATGTCAAGGTAATTTACTCTTATTAAACTGACCTATTTAAATAGTTCATTCATAAATGATCTAAATTTTTACTCCTAGTTTATATGCTGAAGTGTGTTTTGGGGGTGCCTTGTAATAAGTTTTCTTCATTAAATTTCTTTCTTTGCTCTTGTAGTGTTTTGTATGTTCCATCTGCCATAACCAGCTACTACCTGGGGACCGCTTTCACTATGCGAATGGAAAACTGTACTGTGAACAGGACAGGCCAACATCTTGTTTGCACAGAAACGAGCACTTGGATTCACTCAGGGAGCACAACATATCCGAACCGAAGTCCTGAGCTCATCTTTTTGCTGAGCTCCGAGAAAGAGACTCTAATGGAGCTCCTGGTTTCATATTCAATACCTCATATAACCTAGTAGTTGCTTTGTCAGCTACAGTCTATTTTGTGAAGGTCTAATATTGTGGAAATTCAATGTATATGGTAATATCTGGCAGGTTAAATGAGGTTAGCCATTGGAGCTATAAAGCAATATCAGCGAGCATTCTTGCGTATCATAATCAATTATGAATTGATTTTGCACAGAATGACCTTTCTTATATTGTGAACCTGCAATTTAGTGTTTGTTAGTTTTCAAATAGTGATGTGTTCTTCACTTTCAGGCAGTGAAAACACCATCCTCCACTGGTGTGTGTGAGTGACGTTGATCTTTTGTTAATGATACGGATATTCTTCCTGGTCTCCAATTACAGTATCACTGCAATTAACCTGTTCATAAATCAATTCTATCCAGAGAGCCCATGTTCTCTGTATTTTTTTTAAAATAGCACTTCAGATGATCTCTTGGAGAGCATGATGTTTTTTTGTTTGTTTTTTAAATTAATTAAAAGTAACAATCTTTAAAGTGTGTTGTGAAGTAATATTTGCTTTTTTCAGAATAATTAAAAACCTTAAACTCCATTAAGGATCTCTTTAGTGATATGAGCTGTGTTGATTCATTTTAAATGGTTTCTACATAATATATTGACATAATTCCTGGAGAACACCACCCTCTGTTGGCTGAAGTGAGATTCTGTAATTTTAGAAATGCCTGTAAATAAGCCTTTGTTAAAAGATATAATAATTTTCCAGTGAAAGCATCTATAAACATGATAGCTATGTGCAGGATTAATACATTAAATTATGCATTAAGAAAAAAAAATAGTGAGAACTTTTTATTAATGTTTACAACTAAATAAATAATACACCATAAATGATTAAAGGCTTGATGTGTCATATAAGGATGCCCTTATCTGTAATTATTGTTATATGGATATTATTATAATATGGGACTCATGCAGCCAAGAAGAATGATTGATTTCTGCCTTCTTAACCAACCTGACTATCTGTCCATATTTCTGATGGGTATTATTGATTCATTATTCTGTATAAGGATTCGTACTTATGTTCTGCCTATAATCTAAAATACATTGGATGCTACTATAAAATTGAAGCATTATGAATACAAGTTTCTGCTCCTGCATATAGTCAATCTGAGTATATTGTCATTAATTTACCTGTCAAATAATAAAATAATACAGAATGTTGTTCATGCACCTAAAATAGATCACAAAGGAATGAGTTGCATTGCTTTAAAAGCACTAAAGTCCCTAAAGAATAAAATAATAATAAATACAAGATTATTTTAATAAAAGTTTACTAATAAAAGAATGTGGCCCTGCCTTATAGAATTACAATAGAATGATGGCTGTGATACCTCTATAGAAAGTCTAGAACGAATAGAACGAATATTGTGTTATGTCAAATAAACATTTTAGGGGGTCGTCTAAGTCTAACACATATATGAAGACACCCCACCCAACATATATTTATTAATTCCAGAAGTCTCAAGAACTGTACGTCTTTGAATAATAACAGTGATTGAGTGTGGAAAAACGTTGGAAAAAAATGGATTTTAATTTGCATTTTGTTTTTAGTGCATTTTAATTTATTTTATTATGTATTTAATATTTCAATGATTTATTTAAATAATTTAAAGTCATACTGTGATTGGGGCCCCCTAATGGACCCTGGTCCCCCAGTTGAGAATCACTAATAAAAGTAGCAGCTAGTCATTATAGAAAGTTCTGTACAATCATTTACTATAGAATAATTTAAAACAGAATGATTTGTGCTTCAAAACAATTATATGTGTTACTGCGATAGAATACGTCGCATTGGAACGATTTTTGTTACTTCTACACAAAAGTCCGTGTCTAATATGAATACCTCTCTAATAAAATAAGCCCTAGCTTGGTTCATTGTGCGGTTCCTAGGAAATACATCGCAGTAAAATCGCCCAAATAAGTGTTATGTCTGAATACAGTTCCTAAATTAGTGTTGCTGCTCCTGTAGAACCAGACTGTTGTTGTGTTGAAGCCTCTCTGTTTTTGTGAGGCTGTTATTGATCACATGATCGAGGGTGGACTAGCAGTGGCTGAACTGGGTGCGGGAACAGAAAATGTGCACTTAGGTCGTTCTGCCACCCGCCTCCCGTTGCCTTGTTCCGATTTTAGCAGCAACAGAGCTCTACGTTCACCCCAAATGTGCGGATCTCCGACCTGAGCTCTGGGCATAAACCCCTCCATTTACAACAAACCCCCAGCTCAACCATGGGACCCCCTCCGTCTCCCGGCCGTGATCGTACGGAAAAAAATAAAGAGCCTTTCGCTTGAGACGGAAACATAACAGCCTTGTTTTTTGGGAGTGACTCACCTCCCCTTCCCCAGAGTTTGATTCAAAAGAGTTCACAACCAAGATGGCCGCCGATCCCATGCAGGTAGGAAAAGTTTGTTATCTTGTGCAATGTTAATGTATAAAGGATCTTGAATTATGTAAAGTGTGCACGGCGACTTTTATACTTGACAAACATAGTATGCGCCCTAAGCGCAGCTCTCTGGAGCACTTTCAAACCACTTATTTTCTTCCTTTGGGACGAGCTTCTCCCTCCACCGAAGAGCTCATGACACGGGAAAACGGGGAACGGGGCATGAAAAACACTTAAGACAGGAGTTTAGAGCATGGAGTATCTCTCGTGCAGTACCCATTTAAAATTGGACTGATTTTAATGCGCTTTGTCGATTGGAAAACTGAGTTTTGATGGATTGGAATTGAAACCACTGGCTGTGTAACGTTATTACTTAACTCAGTGAGCTGCCTTACTAACTTTAGGTTGTTACCAAATGTTTTGTCAGCATTGTTCCCAGAGCTGATACGTCCAAGAGTATTATGGACATTGGAAGAGATACTGCTGCATAATTTTGTTTTATGTGGTGAATGAGAGGTCTGATGTAGTTAATTAAAGTGCTCTTTAAGACTAATTATAGCGTATGAAGGGATTTTCTCTCCATCAAAGCGCTTTATTAATGGCCTTTTTTGTTGTCCTGCAGATTATGCTGTTTTAATGTTGATTTTGTGTGTGTGTGGCTTGTCCTGAGTGTAGCACTGCAGGCGGTACAAGGGAGGAAGAGATTAGGTGCAACTGGCTTTTTCCTATAGCATCTAAAGTGAAGTACAGAAGTTGCTTTTCCTGACCTTCAGTTGACCCATGAGTCACTACTGTCAGCATGGTGCCAGTTATGTTTTATTTATTTACTTATTTATTTATTTTTTTTGCAGACAGTGAAATGTTCATGAAGACTATAAACGAGTTTTTGTTCACCAAATCTGAAATTTCAGAACACTCAATCCAGTTTTGCTTTTAGTTAACTGACAGGAAAAACTTAATCAGGATAATTCAGATTTATTTTGATTAATGAAACATGATATATCTGTACACTGTTATCTGCTAATATTAGAGATATTTTATTTATCTGTATTGGTTTAAATTGGATTTTTAAATGTGCATGCTCAGTTTTACATTTAGATTTACTTTTATTTAGACGTTTAGTTAAAGGTAGGGTGGGCAATTTTCGAAAAGAGGCTAGTGAGCAAGCTTTAAAGGATAAAAAGCTCATATACTCACAGTGACGTTTTCTTTTCCATTCCTCGTTTCGGGGTAAAACAAAGTTCAAAATACAAGTGAACATCCGACATAACCCCACAGAGCGAAGTTTAAATGAATATGTAAATGTGTGTTTTCCTCTCAATAACAAAATGAACAAATTTTTTAATAAAGCATCATAAAAGCATCTTATCATCAGCAATGTGGACTAATTTAGACCACTTAACTTAACGCTTTCAATGAGCATAACAAAAAATGGTTCTGGAACAAATAACCAATACATTATTGTTTAATGTAAATTGTTTTTAGCAAATCTCAAAATAAATAAAATCAATTTTTCATAATGCCTAAATTCACTTAGTGTTTATATATATATACAATATAACAATTTCAGCCATAACTGAAAATTATCGGCCAGATTCAGAATATTATTAGCACATCCCTATGTTCAGATTTAGATGTATTTGAATTATATGACTATTAAATCCAATTTAATTAATTTATTTGTGTTGTGCTTTTCACAATATATATTGTTTCAAAGCAGCTTTACAGAAAGTGCATTTCAGAAATGTACATAGAAAAAATACAGTTAGTTAATCATGTATTAATTTAGGGCATAACATATCGCCGGCATTGAGTTGTCTCTTCACAGGCTTTTAGTCATCTCATCGCAGGTGTTGGGGCATCTGAAGTCTCTGTGAGAGACTGGATACTTTTTGGAGAATCAGATATGTTTAGCTAATTATCTGCGCTTATTTGACAAACCTCACCTTCGTCCTCCCTTTGTGCTCATTCAGGTCTTTCTGCTGAAAGATTTCAGTACTTTGTTTTTAAGCTTTATTTATGGCTACAATTTCCCCTGGAGGAAGATTAGAGGAGCTCGAGCTGTGTCAAGTTCTCTTACATGTTGTCATGAGCCCATGAAGAGCTGGGCTAAGCAGGATTTGGCTCACCCACTCGGACCAGTTATCCTCCCTGCTGATGTCAGTGATACTGTGTATCTTTGTTTGTGTGTACCTGTGTGTGTTTTCGTTCACGCTTATGGGGTCTGGGAGATGTGAATGCAATATATAATGGCTCATGTTACTGTAAGCAAAAATTAAAAATTCAAAAATTGTTGACTAAGAATGTTTTATTTATTCTTTTATTTTTTGAATGGAAAAAAGACCTTTGTGATAACAAAAGTTTTATTTTGTATAGGCTCACATGGTTTCGGAGCAGCTGGGCCTGGGGCACAACCTTGACCTGTCTGATACTATGGTGCAGCAGAAGCTAGATGAAATCAAGGAGCAGATCAAGAAGGAGATCCGCAAAGAGCTAAAGATCAAAGAGGGGGTGGAGAACCTCAGAAAGGTCACCACAGAAAAAAAGAGACTGGCATATGTTGATAATATGCTCAAGAAATCCAACAAGAAGTTAGAGGAGCTGCATCAAGAGCTTCAGGAACTCAACGCTCATATTGTGGTAAAGGATCCAGAAGATCTTCTCTTAGGTATGAGCAAAGCTGTCATAAATAAGCTTCAACCATCTGCAGCGCCCCATATGATTCAACCCACTTTGCAAATCAGATTTTTTGGCAAAATGTACAGACATTTTCAGCTGTTTGCAATGTACAAACCAAATAGCTAAACACAAAAAATGTTTCAAGTGGTTTTCTCAAATTCAACTAAAAATGTTATAGTGCATGTACGTACACATAGACACACAGACACTGCTGTTCAAAAGTTTGGTGTCAGTTTTTTTTTTTTTCCAGCAAAGATGCATTAATTTGATCAAAATATTTTGATCAAATTAATGCATATTTTAAATAAATGACCAAAATACGTTTTAACTTTCTATTCATCAAGTCTCCAGAAAAAGTAAATGTATCATCATCATCATCATCATCATGTTTTTCACAAAAACATTAAAGCACCACACCTGTTTTCAACAAATGTTGCTTGAGCAGCAAATCATCATATTACAATGATTTCTGAAGGATCATGTGACAATGAAGACTGGAGTGATGATGCTGAAATTGAATTCAAATACAACTTTTTTTTATTGTACGTTTTAGTCATTTCATAGTCGTTTTAAATTATAATAGTATATTTGTTGTTTTTTCTTTATATTGATCAATATATTGGTGTGGGTAATATTTAAAAAAAATTACTCAAAAGGCAGTGTACAAGTGTAACATCTAAACTGAATGATTACAGAGCAACCCCCTTTGAACTATAATATATTGTGAAGATATCTCTGCCAGAAGTTTGGTCAAATCTCTTGCTCTACTAACTGCATCCTTATATGGGACAATATTTAGCCCCTGCATGGAAACCTTATCTGATGTGAAGGGGCTTTTGTTTGGTGACTCAGCGCAAGAGGAATGTCGCCGCGTGTCACACCTCTGTGTTGACCTCCTCAGTCTGTGTCCACTGAGCAGAAGTCAGCAGATCTGCTTCCAGACGCCGCTGCCTGTGCCTCATTGATGATGTAATCGTGCTATCTGTTGCTCAGCACTTGTAAGGACTGGAGCCCAGGGAATGGG